CCTTGTATGTATTATTGACGGATAAACTGTCACACCGGCTCCATTGTGTGGCAAGATCAAAACCACTTGAAAAATCACCCACAGAGATGAAGATGGATCGCATTTGTTGCATACAAATCTGCTAAGGACAACGTTTGAAGAGAGAAACGTCGGAATCGAACAAACACTGCTTCGGGAGTTCTGCCACAGAAGTACATCGTGACATGCAACCGTACTTTATTCAAACGGATGAGGAACGTCAAAAGCAGTCGAACAAGTGCCAATACACCGCAATCTGATGTCCTGCTGAGCGGTAAGATACGGAGACAAGCACGACTCGGAAGACTGAACCAAACGAGTGAAGATCATCATATTATCATTGACAGTACAGCATCAGTGTGTGACATCGATCGTCTGTTGCCGTATAACCGTGATTTATTTGAAGAAAAGAATTTAAGTTGATGGGAAAGGTACTTAGTGCTAGTCTAGCACAATCACTCCGAGTTATCTATACCTACAGACACTCATTCAGACAATCTGCATAGAAACCGACAAGAACACCACTGACATCGATTAGCAGTCATATCTTGCAGTGTCTTCAGCCATGCACAGGGAGGATCACGCGCATCTCAATGAGCGCAGATGACACACGACGAAAGTGTGGTGTGGTAATTGCCACGTGAGTGAGAATTCTACTCCTGTTTGAAGCGACAGGTCGTTCGCTTGTCTGACAAGCTGTAATAGACGATTAACCGAGCATGCAGTTTCTTCATAGTCCATAGTTGGGAAAACTGCATGCCGGTTCGAGAGGTGGCCCTGTCCCAGTCAGTCAGCCGGAAATTATTAAACTGTACAGATAAATGAATTCATGTCCCACGTCAGGTGACTGGTCTGCAGCCAAGGGGATTCGGTTTGAGTCCAACTAGTCTTGAGTCAGTACTTTACATTTTACAGGTATGAGGCGCATGCTACCAGGATTGTATTGGCTGTCCAAAAAGAATTGTGTCCATAGAGGATCCCAGCCAAGGAGGGCAACACCGTCTGTCTACTACGTGAATGTTAGTAAATATCTTGGCAAGAAGCCGGAGGGGCTTCAAACAGCATAGCACTAACAAAGTTGGGGAAGAACGGGGAGAGAGGACATTTTGTACCAAGTCACTGGAAGTAGTGAACTCATTTGAGGGGTTGCTGTGGACCCGTAAGCGCCCACAAGAGTTGGTGAACAATGTCCTAATGAGGTACAAAAATTTAAATGTAATACTCTTGATCGCCACACCGCCATAGATTCTGACGCTCGACAGAATCAAATACAGCCTCCAGAGCAAAATGGACGATCATAACTGGACGTTGGAGTCAGAGGTGGAATTAAAGAGCTTATCGTCGGCCAGGGCGGAACCCAGCAGGATTCTCCCTCGGCAGACAATCGACATGCGAAAAATAAAAGCCACAGAGCACTTTGGACACTAAAGCTGCCGATATGATACCAGGACGGTTCTCGCACAATATTGCTGCGTCCATTTTGAACAGCAAAATCACACTGGGATTCTGTTTCCGTTCCAAATCTTCTATGTTACTGTCGCCAAACTTGTCGCGAAAGAGTCCCCAACTTCTCTGGAAGTTTTATGGTGCGCACTATCCGGACAACACCAAGCATTTGCATTTCTGTTGCCGATGGCGAGACGGTATCCATGGTACCTTAACGTTCGTTAAGTTCTTCCTCAGATTGCGTTGGAGGTGATCTGTTTCTTAAACTGTTTGGTCTATCGGTAAAGTTTACGACTCTGTGGAGGAATTGCTGTTCTATCTTTTATGCAAATCGATTCGCTGAGACCGGTCAATTGTGATCAGCTCATCGGGTCAGATGCAGCAGAAGCCCTTGCCGTCTCTTGAGCACACGCAATCCACCAGCACTCGCTGTCATTCATCAGGCAGTTGATTATCCGGCATCTGAGAGATCTGCGTGCGCAGTCTTGGTCACCAGTTACTTTACGTCTTTTCGGTCATCAGTAGGATCTGCCGATCTCGATCGATGATGTGTCGGGCTTACTAATCACATCGCTCAAATGCGAGCAAGTTCGCCCGTTCAGACGTAAGAATTCAGATGCGTCCAATCTGCGCTGGTGGAATAGTGGTAACTTTCACAGCACGGCTTCTTTCACTCTTTTCCACTCATCCTCCGACCATTCTCCTCTATCATCGTGACTATGCGTTTTCAGTACCTGTTCATCCAGGTCAGACTGATCATGTTGAGCCGCCAAAAACCACACTATTTGATGAAATGAATGACTTTTCTTCAACATGTGTGATCCTGAGCGGAAGAAAAGCGACATCCCAGCCCGCACCATGGCACGGCTGGAATGAAGATGCGCACCCCAATGGGAAGGAGCACCTTTATTTGAATCCCTCCATGGGTAACTGATGCCTACTTGATCCCCATAAGTCCATGACTGGTTTGCGATTGGTGGCGAGATGGCCCAAATGGTTAGAGCGCGAATTTACTGACCGGAAGGTCCGTGGTTCGAATCCGACCTCCGCCACTCGACTTTCCCTGTCTAGACTTGGGCAACCTGGCAGTATCCCAGCCCTCGTGCTTCCTTCGGGTGGCATGGCAGCTAGGCACCGAAAGGGTGCTACAGCTGAAGGCTTTCTTTCTTTCTTGCGATTGCGGACAACTGACCTAGCCCGAAGGCCGTCACGGTGCTTATGCGCACAACCATCGGGAGCTCGCGGAGTGCGGTTTATAGTTCCGACATTTTCTAAACCAGCCTTCCTCGGGATGAGACATTGCAACTCTCATACATTTGGATATTCTTGTCGATTAGGGGAAACAGCTTACTGCAACCAAACTCCTATCGCAGGATCAGAGCATAACCTCTTGACCACCTCGTACTACTAGCTGCTCTTCGTCCGACTGCTCCGTTTAGACCTTTCTACACTGCGTCTGTCTGGGTGTGTAACCTGACAGTACCTCGGTCCTTGTGCTTCCTTCGAGTAGCGTGGCAGCTAGATACAAAGTGGTACAACTGATTGAAGCTTGTTGAACGGATTTCAAAAGTGTGGCCTGTGGGACGATTGCACCACTAGAGCTCTCCATCACACCAAGCTAGTAGCTTTTGGTCGAGAGATTTTCCGTAATTTCCTGTCACTTGTTTTGCATAGAAATTCCTACCCATAAGTGCATCAACCACACATGGTTTCGGACTGTGTACCTAGGTTTCCCATTTTACTTCACATTCAGCTTCAGCTTTTTCTACCGAGTAGAGTTAGCTTAGCTGACTCTGATTAGTGGGTATAAACGGCGATGAAACGGTTCCGACAAGAGGGACCGAACGGGACATCAAAAGGGCGTTAAAGAAGTAATAGCATATTTGTAAATCAGTTTGCTGATAGAGGGACGACATTTTCGCACCATGTATGTCAGAGGACAGGTAGCAGGATGTCGGAACGCAACTGCCTGTAGGGAACAGCAGCTGGTTCTCCTGATTACAGAATATATTCTCACGACAAAACATCATCAGCTGCAACAACCACATGCTTGTCGTGTAGCGGTTATAGCTACCAGTTTTGTTCACCGATGAGTTGGGGAAATAGGGTGGGTAGCTGTGCATTGGAGGCGGTGGCTGATAGAACTGACGGGTATACACAGGGATCAGTTGAGTTTTCATTGGGGAGATTGTTACGGGAGTCGTGTGTTGAAGGCGATCGCTTGGATAAACGATCGCCACTGAGGGAGCGACCGGGCCATGTCTGACAATCTGTCTAACCGAGGATGTGTCCCGTCTAAGGGGTCCCCATCTAGAGAGATGGCAATGACCAGCGTAGCTGCATTTGCTGATAATGGCTTTCATACTACCAATCATTGTTTGACCTCCCCCTAGCACGTTTCCAACCTTCACGTGATTGTGCGAAAACAGCCCTTCGAGGAAATCTGTTGAATGGCATACGGAGCACGTGACCAAACCAGCGAACCTATGGAATGTGATTATGGGCGAGTTTTCTCCCGAAAAACCGACCGTTGATTGGTAAGCTGCTCCGGTCTTCTCGATCGGATGGAAATATCACCTTTCGCGAGACCACCGCGATCGATCCAGCTGCCCAGGCAGACAAATATGTTTACTACGTCAATCGGCTCATCCACAAGGATGAGGTTACGGCCCGAGCCCCCCCTCCCCCCGGTCATGCAGCAATATTTTGCACTTTGCAGCGACAGCCAAACTGTGAGGTAGAATTATTTATATTATTTAGTGTCGTTGGTATTACCACGGGGTCAGGTCCAAAAACTCTGTCGTCTGCGTACTCGATATCTGTGAGCGGATGCTCCGGAGCACTTCGACCTCAAAGGCATTAGAGGCCGATAGCGAGTCTTCTAGAATCGTATCAGTGACGAACGTGAGGCGGGAAGGTGAAAGAGTACCGTCTTGCCCGATAAGACGCATGTTCATGTTGTGAGCAGCTGCTTGCACGTTCCTGTTTTAGACATTAAAACAGCAAGCAAAAACATATGCACAGTGAACGTGTATGGCGTGCAGACCAGGCAGCAGTGATTGCTCATTACACACGACCGCCTACGTGTCTACTGATTATTTTTAGTTGGTCAATAATTTACGCCATCCCAATCGATCGGGTGCAGTTCCCTGACTATGGCACAGAAGTAATCTTTTAGGAAAAGAAAATCTCATATATGCTTGGTAAACCGAAGCTGGAGTGAATTATCGCATGGACACAAATCCCCTTGAGTCCCAAGCCGTCCAAAAGCTGTGCGCATTTTTCATGACGGGCAATGTAGAACCTCTAGTTCAGATAAATAACGCCATCAGAGGTAATATAGATGTTCGACCTAAGGCAGTAAACCTTCGATGCGCTGTCGACAGTGATGATGACCTATGGCAACGCGATATGGGCCAAATTGGGTGGGCTTGACCTGAGGTTGCTCACAAACTTCTCCGTCCCTATGGCAACCTGTCAGAAAACCTAGCTCATGCGGTGAGAGCAGGGTCCGGTGTATGAGACAAAAGACGAAACTCAGTACTGATCACCAAATACATTAGGGGGCGCAAATCACAAACAACAGTGACGCACTGGAGGACAAACGCTAGAGTTGGATGAACAAAAGGCGTCGACGATAATACAGAAAAGACTGTACACACGCACACACGTGGGGAGAACGCGGTCGTCAAAGTAACCCAGTTCCTGTTCGAATGAAGAAAACAAAAGGAACAAACAGACACCACAAAACAAACTGTTGGCCTCTCGAGCGTTGAGTCGAGAAGGAATGCACTGGAAATCACAGAACGTACGTGCGTGTTCTTTGTGTGGGTTTTTGTGTGCACCGCGCGACACTGACTGAACGAATGCAGGCAAACGGGTTGGAGCGTAACAAAACGCAGAACGATGCGTGTGTGACTGGTGGGTAGTTAAGGTGTAACACATGAGCGTATGGTCACTGACCAGTATCACCTCAACCAAACATGCTATGAACACAGATATACGGGTAGCGATCAATCTGATATACAAAAAATACATCAACAGCAAGCACCCCCCAAAACTAAGGGTGATTGAGCGAAAAGCAACTACCTGCGAAGAGGAACAGATTAAACGGAATCATGTAACCAGGAATCTTTACATATGGAAAGTAGTATAATATTTAGTGTTTAATGGTGCGAATCGGTTGCTTTGGTCATGCGAAACTACGTAAAGCACGCAAACACGCGCAAGCAATGAATCTCCGGCACCAAGAGGAATGTGAACAAAACGATTACGTAGTTGATGACCACACAAATGCGCAAGTAGGATGTCAAAAACGTGACGAAGACAGTTGAGACAAACAGGATCACAAATGATTGTGGAACGACAAGGTTCGAGGTAGGTAGGACGGAGCAACACAACCAAGGGAAGAACCATGGGCACACTGGTGTATCACCTGATTGAAGCATTACTATTGTTGCCGAAAGAGTTGAGCGCTTAGATGATGGTGCTGATCGCCCGCCGCGGCGACGGCCGACAGCTGATGTGGATGGAACTGGGCCGCATGTTGGTTTAACAGCAGTTCGAGCTCTTGCCGATGTTGTTGTTCTTGTTGTTGTTGCTGTTCACGCTGTGCGACAGCAGCAGCGGCAGCAGCTGCAGCTGCCGCATAATACGAGGCTGCTGCAGCTGTGGAGTCATCCAGCTCGGGCATCGATGCGGTGGTGGGCCAAGCATCATTCACAATGGGTAATTGTACAGTATTGGGTTGAGGAACAGCACAGTGGTGGGAAGCACGTAGATGGATTGCGGGCATGGTAGGAAAATTAACGGCAGGAACCTGATTTCTGTGTTGCTGATGCTGTTGCTGTTGTTGTAGCTGGAAGTACATAAGATTGTGATAAGCAGCTGCAGCTGCGTGTGCGGCCGATAGATGGTGGGCGGTCTGAGATTCCGTATCACTGGGGGAGAACGAGAGGCGCGATTGTTTGCGAAGACTTGAGCGAGTTGATGAGGTACTCGGGGCAGTGACTATGCTGGGACGATCGGGGGACATCGGTTGCCCGGAATGATACGAATTGCGAGTTATGCAATGAGGTGGAATGCGACGTTGTGTGGCACCATCGTTGTAGATAGAAGTCTGTAAGTATGGGAAAATTTCTTGATGATTTTAGCTACTTAACATATCGTCTGCTTCAGCTTACTTTCTCAATTAGCTTACTCCAATTCAAACTCTACAGTCAGTTGATCATGATCCAACATCGATGAGAAATTCAGCACTCAAAACTTCATGGGAGAGTGGTAAATAGGGTAAAACCTAAAATAACAACCACCTTGGACTGTTGCGACCGATACTGCATCAGTACGTTACGTACAAACGTGATCGACTTGATCAAGAAAAGAAAGTTATTACTAGCACTTGAAGGATCCAAAAGCCAGTAGACGGCTTCACCACTCTACTTACAAGAAAAATACCACAAACGAGAGATTCAGCTGGAATTCAATTGACTCCAATTTCAAATCAGCGTATTTCATCAACAGTCCACCGCTCCTTACAACGACCGATGGGTTTTAAGAACGGCGATAGGCTTTGTTGAGCTATCAATGGAGGCCGCGAAAATACAACACATCACAGGGACGAGTGTTTTTTGAAAGGTGACAATTCCACGGGCCTGTGCTGGCATTGTCCCACTCAACGCCTTCGCAGCTAAGTTGATCTCACTATAAACCTCCTCCCCCTCTCCCTAAATTCACATTCGTGTGTTCAAAAGGTATCGATTCTTTTCCTGTGTGATTCCCATCCTCGGTTAAGTCAGACAACGCGTCCAGTTAGTCGAAATAGCTCATTGGCCAAGGCGCGATGGCTCAGTGGTTAGAGCGCGAATTTACTAACCGGAAGGTCCATGGTTCGAACTCTACCTCTGCCTCTTAAGTTCCCCTGTCTGGGCTTGTGCAACCTGGCAGTATCCCACTCTTCGTGCTTCCCTCGGGTGGCATGAGAGCTAGGCACCGAAAGGGTGTTACAGCTGAACGAAGGCGCGAACTTACCGACCAGAGGATCCGTGGTTCAAACCCAACCTCCTGTTTAGTCTTGGGTACCCTGGAAGTATCTCAGTCCCCATGGTTCCTTCGGGCGATATGGCATTTAGGCATCGGAAAGATTACCACTGAGCGCGATTCCACTAAGACAAGGAGCGGGTTAGACTGCCAGTTCAACCAGGACATTATGTTGTTGATTCTCTATCTGGAAATGCTGGCTAAAGATCCGACAAACCGTGCATGAAAAGGTCGTATATGACGCGGTTCATTTAGCAAGACGGCTCAGTGATTAAGTTGCCAGCTACCAGTATCAAAGCTCATAATTTGAACCAATCCGGTTTTGCGTACCAAAATTTATAGCTGAACGGAACGTTTACTGGACTGGAAAAACCGTGCGGGCATTGACAATAGAAAATGTCAAACGGATGTTTAGCAGCTGTGGAAGCCGTAGCCGATCGATAGACGCAGGCGAAGTCAACAAAGTAACTTGACAACTAAAACAAACTCGTTCGTGGGTTTCGGATAGCACCTGTATGGGCTTGGATGAACATGGCGGTACCACGCAGGAACAATCTAAAGAACTAGCTTTCACTTAATAAGCACACGAAACTGTCGGCCCCACCTGGCACACCTTGTACCTCGGATCAGGCTTTCCAGTATCCTCGATACTGTCACATTGTAAGGCCGCATCTCAATCGGCGGGTATGTTTGCGGATAAAGTTCAAACCAAAGTATCACAAAGATTATGCAATTCGTTCACATATTTTCATCTCTTCTGAACCCTACATGCTTTTTACTTAAAAATTACTATCTTTCATCCTATACGACGAGACACAGATGAATACAAGAAAATGATCTCCGAATGAAATTTTGACGCGTGTTACGGAACCTATCGGGCGAGCAGAATGAGAACCAGCGAAAAAAAACGACTTTCAGCCGTTCAACACAACTCACCCCAGCAGTGTTACGAAAATTTCCCGACATATAGTTCAAAGTGGGTGAAGGCAAGAAGCATGTGGAGGACGAACAGTCTTCTTGCTTTATCATTGGCTGCACACGACCAACAGGTACTGGAAAGAAAATATAAAATGAGGGCTGATGAGATTTTACAAAGAACTTCGATGACGTTTTTCACCATCGCGAAAACCCTCTCGTTATTCGGCACTCAAGAAGCTGTGTTCGTAGGCCTCGACTGGCAGGTAGTTTAAGTTGTGTTGCCGGTTGTGGCGCGTTAAAGTGACACACTGAATATGTACAAAGATAGGGGTTGGAACAGTCGCGTACAGGTGTGATTCGAAGCCTGATTTAGCCATTGAGTGGGGACTTGTCCGAAACACTCGTTCCAGAAAAGCAAGACTGGACAAAAAATATGATAATGACTAACACACCTCTAGAAAACGATTCATTCGAAGATCGGCTGTTAAATCTGGGTGGTATTTTCTTCAGTCATTGATCGTTCGTTGGAAATCTTGTAATGTTACCATGCTAGTCAAACAGTAAGCTCACATGACGAATAAACAGTGATCAGCTTGTGAAACGTCATGGCCTGATAGGTCGGTTTAATGGTTTTCTCGCTGAGCTGGAGAATTTGGTTGTAAAAGGTTCATCACCAATCGAAGCGGAATTGCACTTCCGTCCATAGCACAACTCCACTAACAAAGTATTACTGTATTTCGAGTGGTGATGAAACGTCGCAAATCAAATTGCCTGGCTGAGAGCATAAACCAACAACCACCAATATGGCCACAGCTACCAATATACTCTTCAACTGTAAGCCTGGTGGATAAACCAGGTAACGGCATGTACTTCGCATGCCAGAAGACTATCTGCCTCACAGAGCTCTCTTTTACCAGCCCTGCACTGAGTAGAAGCGACCGAGAGGTGGAAAGTGTATGACCTGGCAACGAATCATGAAAACTTAGTCGGGTGGGCAATTGTGGCCTCCCTGAATGGGGACCCAGGGTTGATGATATTGACGGAAATGGCCCAATTGCGCAGTCATTGGCGCTCGTGCATCAAAACTATCGCTTTCAATGCGTAGCTACCCAATTTCCACACGAACTGAACACGTCTTCGCCTCTAAGACTTGACTGTATGTTCCATATTTCCGTTTTCCGGTGTAGCAGCTGGAACCAATGTGCCTATGGCTGATAAGTTGGAACTGAATTGACTGAGGCTTCGCCATTTCGAATATTACTGAACAGGATTCAATTAGTGGGATCTATGAAACAATAAAGTGACCATCCGTTGACGTACTCCATCCAGAAGATCGGGAACAGAAAGAGTAACAGGCAGATGACGCTTGTTAGGACTCGATCGACTTCGAGTTCATCGCATACAACACTAGCTAGCTAGGTTATTGAACTGGTACGCCGATATTGTATTCTCAACCAGCTCATTCAACGTCATTGCGATAGGTTCCGTTCAGAAAGAGGGCCTCAGTCGATCTACCACAAAGCATCAAAACATGCAATTCAGGCACTCTAGATCACATTAATAACGGAAGTCCCCAAAAATGCAATAACTGGAGGGAGTAAAACTTGTCAGGATTGAAGATGAGACATTCGAAGTAGAAAAAGGAATGTCTAAAACCATCATGAAGTAAAATAAAAAATAATAGAATTTAAAAACATTTAAGCTGTATTGTGTTGGAAACATGGATGAAAAATTGATGGAACCGGGAGTTTTGAAATGTTGATATTCAGAAAACTAATTATTGCACTCTCGCGAGAATCTGACAGATTTGTTGTCCATCCAGCTACCAGTGACATTTAGACAGAATTTATGAATCGCGCACCCACACCCATCCACGATTGAATAATCTGGCGGTATACTGATCATTATGCTTCTTCTGGATCGCAAGTCAGTTAAGAACATGAAGCATGTAACGTCCAGCCGTTTTTGTTTCTAAGATGGTTAGTATCAGCCATATGTAACGTGACAACGCTTGAGACCATATTCTATGTTCTACACCTCAGTGAGGTGAGGTTGTGTCCCCGTATTCTATTTGACAAATGTCTCGTCTTAGGACAAACATGCCACGCTCCGCACGAGTGCAAAAATGAGTACTGGCAGAAAGTGATGGTAGGATTCAACAGTTCCAAATGAAAATCAAGTTGCTAAAGTCTATCACTAGCTTCTCTGCGTAGTTATTTTGATGATAGCGCGATGGTCGAACAACAACGCGTTCGCCAGACATCACACGGGAACACACTCTCACTTCACTGAGGCTTAGAATTAACAACATATAACAACATATATATATCATATATAACGTATATATAACATATAACATATAACAACATATATAACATATAACAACATACAACATATAACAACATATAACATATGACAACATATAGCTATCGCGCTACACCTGGCGTAACAACATAATCATATATAACGTATATATAACATATAACATATAACAACATATATAACATATAACAACATACAACATATAACAACATATCATATATACGTATATATAACATATAACATATAACAACATATATAACATATAACAACATACAACATATAACAACATATAACATATGACAACATATAGCTATCGCGCTACACCTGGCGGAGATTGACCGTCCTACAGAAAAATATCCCTCTGATGATCGAAAACAGTTCGATTCGGACTGTTATCGAAGATTGAGGCCGTTGGGATCCGGTTACGCAACCTACGGATCCGTGTCAAGAAGCTAATACGAACTTTGAACTTGTGCTTGTCAAAGGTCAGTCTAGTCTTCAATTGGCAATGGCGAAATTTTATTTGGTCGATTTCGCTTTTAATGGGCTCCATCGGGAATCAGTCACAAATCGGGTCAATCTCGCAACAACGATGAAAAATGACGGTAAGCTGAACGTCACTTAGTGACAGTTTGGTAGCAGCGCTCCTCCTGCAAAACTAAGAGCCAACCCATGAGATGAACTGGGGAGAATATTCCTGAGAACGAATTTCACTCATCCACCAAGTAATATCAGTAAGAGCGTGAGCGAAAACTCACAACTATGAGCTTCCGCAAAACCCCTAGAAGATTGTGGAAATAAAGCCAAACGTAGGATCGCAATATGAATTACAATACCGCACAAAAAAGTACAAGTTAAGATCGGTCATAAATACTTCACCCACTGATGACTACACATGAATACGTGGGTTTACGCTACATACCACAGCTGAGTAGCTCATTCTAGTGCCGCTACGCTTAAACCCTTTTTACACAATGGAATAACGTGGGTAAGACGCATTCACACCGCCCCTTTGTTTGACCCATTGCAGTATTGATCCATATTCAGAAATGTTCATGTGAATAAAGCAGTGAACAGGCGGTCAGTGTCATCATAAAGTCACTCTCTGTTCTGTGGAAAAAAGGGCAACCGCATAACAAGCTGGAACTTTAACGAAGCCCCGTTGTGGTAAAAAGCGAACTGTAGCGGAAAAAGAATGGCAACGCCACGTCAAATTACGCGACACACTTCCACAACATAGCGACTGTAATTGTCCCTCTTGCGTAAAATATCACAAACTTATGTGATACCAGATTCCAAGTGAAAAGTTTATGTGAAAACCAGGGGTAGAGGGGTTCGTTGTTCAGTTAGCTGTCCACCATTTTAGAAATCAATTAGGATACGACAAAAGAGTAATGTAAAATTGAGGGCGGTTATATATAGCGAAAGATCAGATGTTCCACAACAAGGTACTGATTGGCGATCACCCTAACCGTAATGTATATATTTCGTGTAAAAGGTTGTAATGTCGAATCCCTAGCTTTAAAGCTCACCAAAGACGACGAAGCGACCATCAGTGAACACAATGCAACAGGACAGGACAGGACCCGGGCTAGTGAACTATGGTGAAAAATTCTCCTTTGTTGTCATTGCCCAAATAAGACGTTGGGAACCGACCACAGGTAGAAGTGTTATGTTACGTCATGCAAAAATAACTGAAGAAACCAGTTCTAGTGTAAAACAGATGCACATATGTGGCAGTTTACACAGACAGATAGTAGTTCCAATCGGCCTAGATGGACGACGACCAAGTACGCGAATAACAGGACAATCGATAACAAAAAGTGACACTCACTTTTCTTTTCTGAGCGCAGGCTGGAAGCCGAAGACACAGTGGAGAGGTTGCTCTCAATGTTCGATTTACAATCACTGTGCACAGGACGAATGCAAACAGAAACAGATGGAAAGATGAGTGAAGAAAAAATTACGTCTTCAGCGTTGTTTCAGGAACAATTCTATTGTTAAACAAGTGTATTGTGGTTCAACTACATCCTACTTAATATAAATCGATTAAGAAATAGAATACCTAGGAGTAAATAAACAATCGTTAGTACACCATAAGAATTCCCATGCACAGGATTGAGAGTGCGTTTCACGTAAGTGCAGCCACATGATGTTGAACTAGTGCTGATCACATCTTGTTAAGCAGTGTGAAGACAGAGTGCAACCATGCTGAGCGCAACAGAGAAGAGTAGAGAATGAGGAAGGTCCTAAATCAAGCGAAGCCATCTAGTAGAGCACAGTATTGTAGGCCACCATGAAGAATTGACCAAGCTTCACTGAACACATGGCACGCAACGAAACGAGAAAGGAGACGACAGCGATCAAGAGAGCCTATTTTATGGGATCTGTTAGTGTCCACAAAGTGGAATATGGATACTATCTCTTGCATGAAGCTGCTAGTTCTTTCTAGCACGGGAGTGTGATCATTTATAATTATATAGACAGCACATTCGTTAAGCCGGATGGTGTTAATGCAGAGCTGCTGGAAGAACCAGGTTTATTGAAACGACGAGTTTCACCGAAAAGACCCGAGACTATCATTCAAACAGACCACTCATAATCGAATTTGAGTGAGGTGTCTCCATTGCAACACCCCAATGGAACCATGAGTTGCCGAATTTTACACAACTGGGTGTACGTAAAACTGAGACAACGCAGAGAACAGGGGCGACTATAAGAACACTTTCACAAGGTTTGAGTAGATGTGACTGCATTAAAAGCAAATCTGGTATTCACTGATGATCACACCCCATGATGATGTGAGTAATGG